CAAGCCTCCTTATGTTAGTAGGTTTCTGCGATGGTTGTCCTTGATTCTTGCTTCTCAATGCTGAAAGAATTCACGTACCAGACGATGAGCCCCTCAGATTGGAAGGCCCTACACATATGACCGAGGAAGAATTGCTTTCTCAAAATAGTGTTGACTGTAGTGTGACGGATGGAGTAAATGGTGTGGGAGGAAAGCCTTCGGGACCTTCACTTGCTGATGGGACATGACTCAAAATGAGAAGAAACTGCTGAAAACCTCAACTAGGAATCAAAACATGCAATGTATGAAGTATCTATGCATCTAGGAAAGTGGGAAGTCAAAACGAAATAGAATGCATAAAAATCGACATTTTAGGCATTAGTGAGCTAAAATGGACTGGTGTTGGCTATTTTGAATTAGAAAATCATATGATTTATTCTGACTGGAATGAACAATAAAAAAGAATGGTATCCCATTCATCGTCAAAAAGGGCATTTCAACTGCTTGCCTAAAGTGAGGAGGACATGAAGCACTTGCTGATGATGATCAAGTATTTCAGCCTTCGGTGTGGATTACAACTCAATGCAAAGCAAACCAGAAGCCTCACAACTGGACAATAGGTAACATCATGATGAATGAGGAAAAGTCGAAGTTGTCAAGGATTTTATCTTAGGTATTTTCGAATGCCTAATATGCATGTGAAAGTTTGACATTGAATAAAAAAGACTGAAAAAGCATCAATGCATTTGAATTGTGATGCTGGAGAAGAACACTGAAAGTCCCCTGGACTGCTAAAGGACAAATAGATCGGTTTTAGAAAAAGTATGACCAGAATGCTCCTTAGAGGCAAGGCTGGCAAGACTTCCTCTTACATATTGTTATAGGAGATAAGTTTTGCAGCGATTTCAACACACTTAACTGTCCAGAGATCCACAGTTGTACCCATTACAAAGAAGACCCACCAGAATTGTCCAACAATTGTTAGAAATTATCCAACAATATCACATGCAAGTAAGATTTTGCTGAAGACAATTAACAAATGTTTGTAGCAGTACATCAACAGGGAGCTGCTAGAAATTCAAACTACATTCAGAAGCGGAAGTGGAACAAGGGGTATCATTGCTGATGTCAGATGGATCTTGGCTCAAAACAGAGCATACCAGAAAGATGTTTTCTTGACTATACTAAGGCATTTGCGTGGACCAAACAGTAAGACTTGTGTCACATACAGTGTGCTTGTTGTCAGGAAGGACTTCATGCTTGCTAAAGTCATGCTAAAAAGAGGGGGCCTTCAATGAGATGGATTGACACAATGGCTGCAGCAATGGCTGGAACAACAGGTGTTAGGATGACTCCTGGCCAGTGTTTCTTTCTGTTGCTCTGAGTTGGCACAGATTCCACGGCGCAGAAGAACAGCAAAAGCCCGCGTCTTTTCCTCTCCCTAGCTTTAGACTGACAGGATGGAGCGTTACTAGCCAAGTTGAAAAGCGTGAGGACACCTTGCTTTATCATTGTAAACAACCCTTGTGCACATCAGAAGCACTGGCTGAGGCTGAAAACAGAAATGTTATTCATTACACAATCCTGGGAAAGCCACTTCATCTTGCAATTTCCTCTCCTACCTTCCTCATTGTTTGGATGATGTTCAAATACAACAGTGTATTGTGACAACAGTTCACGAGGAGAGAAAATCACACCAACAAACCTCAAACCAAACTCCCCGCCACCACGTCAATGCGGAGTCTTCGTGACCCTCTGGGGCAGGAGAGAATTGCTCCTGCGAGTTTCTGAGCCTGTAACTCTACGGGAGTAGAAAGCTTGGGCTTTTGGCTGATGGTTTCAAGCTGTTGACCTTGCAGTCAGCACCCCAACATATCCACTCTGCCACCAGAGCTCCTGTGCATAGTAAAGGGTTACAGAAACATCAGAGTTTCGTTTTGAATACTTAATGCAAAAGGCACCATAGTTAGGCTTTGGGTTGCTAACTTCAAGGTTAGCAGTGCCTTTCTGCTTCTGCCAAGAGTTACACACTCAGAAACTCACCTATCCTATGTGGTCACTAGGAGTCAGCATTTATGCAATGACAGAGAGGTTTTTGTGTTTACTGCAAAATTTACCTGGTTAACAAAGCTGTCTATGACTAAGAGGAAAAACCAAAAATAAGTCACAGGTATTGAACATCTTTTAAGTCCAGATCAGTGTCAGATTGCACTCCATACCCACTATATCTAAAATGCTACAGATGAGACCTATCATTTTACACATCCCACAGTGATTTCCATGGCTAAGAGAATCACCAAACGGTCAAACTATAGGCACTGCTTAAGAGGTCAGCCAGTAAAATGTAAAGTATATTTTAGGAAAATGTACAACAAGAAATTGGTAAAAATGTTACGTTCTAGTTAGCACCTAAAAACCAGTCACTAATCTTAAATAGCAGGAGCCCAGGTGGCATAGTGGTTACCCTTTGGGCTGTTAACTGCAAGGTCAGCAGTTTGAAAACACCAGTCACTCCTTGGGACAAAGATGAGGCTTTCTACTTCTGTAAAGAGTTAGAGTCTCAGAAGCACAGAGGGGCATTTATCTACCCTGCCCTGTCAGGTAAACTATGAGTCTGCGTTGACCCAGTGACAATGAGTTTGGGTTTGGGTTTGAATTTTGAGCAGTTAATCCTATGAAAGCCAAAACAGACATAATGTTACGATATTAGAGATGAATGACCAAAAAATAAAGGATTCTGTTTAATTCATTTTAAACTTTTACTCAAATATAAAGTAAAATGTAGCTCTGGTATTTTATTTTGTCCCTTCAATGAACAAGTTACTAAAAGAGAAACAATACATGAACAGTGACCAATTAAGAAGCAGTGAACCTTTTCCAAGCTCTCTTCGCTGGTCTATAGGAATCTAATTGATTTCTGCTTGTTAATTTTATCCTGATACTTTACAAAAGGCTTCAATTGTTTCCAACAGTCTTTTAAGAAGTCCTTGGGGGTCTATGTATATAAAATCATATCATCTGCAAATAGCAACCGTTTTACTTCTTCTTTGCTCAGTTGTATTTCCTTGATTTCTTTCTGTTCTCCAATGGATGCTGTTCAGACTTTCTACATGATGCTGAGTAAGAGTGGTGTTAGGGGCATCCTTGTGTAGTTCCCATTCGGAGGGAAAGTGTTCTCAGTGGTTCCTCAAGTGTGATTTTGGCCTTTGGATTTTCATACATTGCCTTTATTATGTTGAGGAATTTCCCCTCTATTCCTATTTTTTGAGTGTTTTTTTTATCAGAAATGGGTGTTGGACGTTATAAAATGCTTTTACCACATCTATTGATATGATCATGTGGTTCTTAGTCTTTGTCTTGGTTGTGAGGAGGGTTACATTGATTTTTCTTAAAATGTTGAACCATCCTTGCATCCCTCACATGAATTCCATTTGGTCATGATGGATTTTTGGATATGTTGTTGAATTCTATTGGCTAGAAATGTATTGAGAAATTTTGCTCCTGTGTGCATGAGGGAGATTGGTCTGTATTTTTCCATCTTCGTGGGATCTTGCCTGGATATCAGGGTTATACTGGCTTCATAGAATTAGTTTGGGAGTTTTCTGTCCCTTTCTATATGCTGGAATAATCTGTGTAGAATTGGCAACAGCTCTTTCCTGAAAACTTACTATGTAGAATTCCCCTGTGAAGCCGTCTAATTCTAGGCTTTTCTTGGTTGGAAGATTCTCTCTCTCCCTCTCTCTTGCTCTCTCTCTCTCACAACAACCTTAAATTTACAACAAGGAAGACAAATAGCAAAGCACACATGTGCTTGCTCCCCACCCCGCCAACCCACCCCATTTCCCTCCCCATCCCCATCCTAATCCTACCTATAGCTCTCCTCAGATTTGGGGTCAGAAGTAGAGACCCTAAACAAGAACCTTGAGCTACAACTATTTTTTTTTTCTGAAGACATCTCTACCCAGGGCATGCTGGGAGGCCCATAGTCAAAAGTAGCTGGAAAATCAGAATCAAGGTTGGGGCTGAGTAGAGGCTAGGGGATACCTAGCATGGAAGGGTGGCAGGTTTCTGGATTACCTTCTCTAGTTCCACTTTCGTTAATGAGCCTGTGCAGGTTGTCTACATCTGTCTGAGTTAACTTGGGTAGATGGCATATTTCTAGGTATTTGTCCATTTCTTCTAAACTATCAAGCTTGCTGTAGTTGTAATCTTTCATAGTAGTGTGTTATTCATTTTATTTCATTTGGATCTGTAGTGATGTTGCCCTTTTCATCTCTAATAGTTGATGTTTGCATCTTCTCTTTCATTTCCTTTGTTAAATTTGCCAGAGGCTTGTCAATTTTGTGAATCCTGTCAAAGGACCAACTTCTTGGCTTATTGATTCTTTCCATAGTTTTTCTGTAATAAATGATAATTTAACATTGTCTTTTGTTCTTTTAGTTACTAATAGGTAGTGACTGATAACTTGTGTATCACTGTGTATATGTGATCAACACAATACTGACCTTCTAGGATATGTAGTTATTTTTCACCATTAATGAAGTATATGAATTATTTGATTTCCCATTTCTTCCCCATCCAAAATGTGGCTTCTACAACTGATGAATCCATTTCCTTGCTATACTCCTCGGCACATATACCTTTCTTGCAGAGAATTCTTCGTGTCTTCAGGGTAGATCTAGTCTTCCAGTATTTGAATAATTCAGTCCCTATTGTCCTCTTTGACCTTAGTTAGGGCTTATTTTCCTTTCTTTTAATCTTCAGTTCTATCCAGAGGTATACATTTTAACAATTCATTCTATGGAGGAGCACTTGTGGGATCTGCCAATTTTCATGGTGTAAATATTTCTACCTTGAAATTTCATGACTGGATTTAACCACCAGCTGACAATATTCCTGGCGATTTAACAACCTGTGCACTATTGGCTCCAGCACACTATTCTGCTAACCAAACTTAGTGGGGAAACAAGCTATCTAGACCTGTCATGCATATTACTGTCTCAGACTGAGTCTTTACTCATTAAATTATCACTTCTTGCAAAGTCTGTTATACAGTCCATGGGAGAAATCCCAAACTGCTTCTACTTGTGCCAGGTCATACCTCACTCTGGGAAACAAATTAATCCAAGTTTTCTCTTTCAGACTTCCTAAACCTCCATTGGTTCCACATGAATCACTTAACTTCTCTCTATTACACGAACCCGCCAATTCACGTTTAGCATCTATTCAGTTTTACTATGAACTTTTAAGCTCCTTAATGAAAGGGTATGACTTATATACATTGGGCTGCTAATCACAAGGTTAGCAATTCAAACCCACCAGTCTGCTCCTAGAGAGAAAGATGAGATTTTGAGCTCCCATAAAGATTTACAGTCTCAAAACCGAAGGAGCAATTTCATTCTGTTCTATAGAGACACTGTACATTGGAATGGACTCAGCGGCAGTGAGGTTGATTTGTTTGCTACTTATCGTATATACTCGAGTAGATACTGACCGAATATAAGCTGAAGCACCTACTTTTACCACAAAAAAACTGGGAAACGTATGGACTCCATTATAAGCCTAGGGTGAGAAATGCAGCAGCAACTGGTAAATTTCAAAATAAAAATAGCTACCAATAAAGTTACATTAATTGAAATGGGGAACTGCTATCAGGGGATCAAGTGGGAAGAGAATGCTTTGAAAATAATGATGGCGGCATATGTGCAAATGTTCTTGACACACTGGATGAATGTATGGATTGTAATAAGAGATGTCAGAGCCCCAAATAAATGTATTTAAAAAAAATAATAATGAGTAAAAGAATGAAGAAAATGTTCTGAAATTGATTGCGTTGAAATGTATTTAAACCATTGAATTGTATGATATATGCATTATATGTCAATAACATTGTCAACTTTTTAAAATTACATTAATTGAGGCATCAGTAGGTTAAATGTTTTTGAATATTTATTTCAAAGAAAAAAGTAAACTAGCTCTGTAAGTGGAAAAGAGGGTCAACAAAAAACAATATTGTATCAATAATAACTTTAAAAGTACAAAAACTTCAGCTGCACTGGAGAGCAGGTAAGTGGGACCCTCACTTGAGTGTAAGCCAAGGGGGCTTTTTCCAGCATAAAAAATGTGCTGAAAAACTCAGCTTATACATGAGTATAGATGGTAAGTTTGCTACTTGTTTGCACTGTTGTGTAAGCATTTGTGTTAGGCAGGGTTCTGTAGAGAAATGAAACTGGGATACTTACGATTATGTATATATAGATAGGTTTATATAGAGAGAAAGAATATAACTGCTAATTCGTCTACACAGCAGTACAGAGGGTTCAGTTCAACTCACTTCCTTGGAACAATTAATATACTGGAAATCCTTCAACTCACTCGAGCTTTGGGTCCAAGGGCAAGGCAGCAGACAGCAGAGTTTACCCTGGGGCAAGGCAAGCAGAGTCGGCCCACAGACAGCAAGCAGCAGGGTGAGTCAACCACAGTCAGTAGCCCCAGAGCTTAATGAAGCAGGCCCGGGTGGGCTATTGAAAGCAAGCAACGCAAGCTGACAGGACCCACCAGCCTCAAGCTCAAGCGATGTACCCACCAGCACCTTGGCGAAGCAGGTCTGATTAATTCCACATGTTCCAATTGGCTAGGTTGGCACAATAAACCTATCTATCACAGCAGGGGCTACCAATCACAAGACTCAAAACCTTCAGCCTCTCCTTAGAGAAAGGTGAGGCTACCTGTCTCAGTAATGTTTTACCGCCTCCTAGGGTTGCTCTGTGTCAGTCGGTATCAACTTGATGGCAGTGGGTTTGGTTTTTGGGTTAGTTCCTGATTTAGTAACCATGGACTCAAATATATCAGTAATCCTGAAGTTGATGTAAGACTGGACAGCATTTTGCTCTGTTACACATAAAGTGGCCAGGATTTGGAATCTACCTGCTATCTTTAAATAATGACCATAAAAAGCAGACCACTGCCATTGAGTCAGTTCTGATTCTTCATGACCCTATGGAACAGAGTAGAATTTCTCCCCAGTGTCCCTGAAGTTGTAACTCTTTAAGAGGAGAGCGAGCTTCATCTTTCTTTGAGGATTCAGGGTAGATTTCATCTGCTCACCTTGCAATTACCATCCAACTCATAAACTACTAGCCCACCAGGGCTCCTGATAACAATCGTTTCTGATTACTTTGTTTATAAATTGATTCTAAATTCTTGTAAATGGTGATTTCTTAAATTAAGGATACATTTGATTGTTGAAATTCAAGTATCAAACCTTTTACAATCACTCTAGTCTTTATTACATATAAACTAACTGTTCCTTTCCTGTCTTACATACTCCTTCCTCCTCAAGCCAGAGCATCTAGATCAGTGGTTCTCAACCTGTGGGTCGCGACCCCTTTGGGGGTCAAATGACCCTTTCACGGGAATCACCTGATTCATCACAGTAGCAAAATTCCAGTAATGAAGTAGCAATGAAAACAATTTTATGGTTAGGGTGTCACCACAACATGAGGAGCTGTATTGAAGGGTCGTGGCGTTAGGAAGGTTGAGAACCACTGTTCTAGATTAATAATGATATCTATGATGGTTTGAAACCATTAGTGTGCATATAATGTATATTTCAATAAAGCTGACACTACTTTTTCCACTGTTCTTTAGGTACTAAAAGATGGACGTTTGGTAGACAAGAATGGGACATCTGGACCTATTGTAACCGTGACACTGTTTGGAAGGTGGTACGAAAGGGACAGACTTCAGAATTCAGCCAAGACCAGCAATTCAGCAATACACTTCCTACTGATCGCCACATCATTCATGATCACAGCTTTGCAAAATATTGCCATGACATAGACAATTTAGCATACTTACCTTTGCAACATATAGTTTGCTAAATGTGTCAATCATTCGATGAAACTTGGAAGGACTGTGCCAGTAGTAGTGGATTACCAATCATTTCTATTTTTTTCTCAAGGAAGATTTTAAGATTACAGTACATTTGTCCCCTTTGACTGCTACCAATCCATAGACGATTGAGTCAGAGAAATGGAGTTCATTGTGCAGCGTTTGTATGTCTGAGAGGAGGCAGAGAGAAGAACTTTAAAGCAGCAGTTCCAGGACATTGAAAATAGAGTTTTGTCCTTTGGAGGGAACAGTTACGATTGAAATGGAGTCATCACTGAACTCCATCTGACATGAAATCAATCTGAACTCTCCTGCTTTTAAAATTATTTTTACTTTTTTATTTAATGTGTTTTGGTGAGAGTTTACATAGCAAATTAAGCAATTTCTATACACATCATTCAATGATTGGCTATATTTGCCACATTATATCAACATTCTTTTTCTTTTTTTATAAAGGTTTTTTTGATGTTGTATTGACAACTCATATTACCCCCGTGGTTAAATAACTGAAAGTCAGTTATATATACATCATCACAATCAATTCCAGTGCCCACTAGCCCCTCTTGGATTCCTTGTTTGCTCCCAAGTCCCCTCGTCATCTCTGTCTGCCCCATCCCCGATAAACCCTGGCATCAGTTACTATGCATCTGTTCCTTTTGTGCTTCACCAAACTGGGAAACCCAGCAGTAACAACAACAACAACAACAACAACAACAAGATAAAATGGCAAGAATACAATAATAATATAAAAATACAAATAAAAGTAAAGAGCAAGAAAGAAAAGATCACCATTAATATTTAAAAAGCCAGGGAAGAAATTTTTGTCATGGAACAAGCAAGAAATACTCGAGCCTAGATCAAATTCAGGTTTGAACTCTCCTCTGTACTTCCTAACTGGAATTTTGCTACTGTGATGAATCAGGTGACTCCTGTGTGGTCCAGTTGGACGGTCCACAGGAAAAGCCACAGTTGACAAATCTTCTGGAATTAAAAGGGGCCTTTTGAATACACTTTACCAGTGCTGGTGAGTGGACCCCCCCAAAGTCTTTAGAAATTAAAAGCAGACATCAAGGGTTCATAAGGCAGACAGGAAAATGAGCTGATATCAAGGGCTCAAGTAGAAAGAAAATGTTTTGAAAATGATGATGGCAACTTATGTACAAATGTGCTTGGCACAATGGATGGATGGTTGGATTGTGATAAGAGCTGTAAGAGCCTCCAATAAAATGACTGTTAAAAATGAATTAAAGGCAGACATGCAATTCATTTAAAATATTCCGATGGCTACAAAGGAGATACTTAGTCACAAATGATTCATCAAGAACAAAGGGGACACTTCTTTTCAGGAGACATAGTGGGCCTTTTCTTAGCCGTGAAAGCTGAGGTAGGCCAGGGGAGCCAGAAGAACTGACGGCTGTTCTTAGCTGTTCATATCAACCTGGCCCACTGTATGTATGCCCCCAAGTGTCCCGTCTGAAGGCTGTGGTATAACAGTCACAAATCCCACAATGCAAGCCAGTGACAGTTAATGGTGATGTTCTTTTCCACATTGTGGATACTGCTTGTTTCAAAATACATATGTACTTTGCTTTTTGGTGTATAATAGGATATTTCTTGCTAATGATTTGTAATCTCCAAATGAAAAGCAACATCTGTAAGTTTTATAATTTTATTTTTCTATGTCCCCAATGTGCATTAAACATTTTCTTTAAAAAGTCACTCTTTGTACTCCCCCGGGTGCTCTCTGCTCTGCTCTCACGGTTGCTTTGCCGCATGATTTTTGTGGTTTGCCTCGGGGTCTCAGGGTCAGTCTGGGCCAGTCCCAACACTGAGTCTCCAGCGTTGTCACCCTTAGAGCCCGGGGCCATCAAGGGACGGCGTGTCTCGTGGTGGGATCAGCCATATTGTCCACTCTGTCCACAGGCTGTTCAGAGAGGGGATGTCGTCCTCCAGGCCTGGTGGGTCAGGATGTGCTCCACTCTCTCTTCCTCCCCAAATGCTCCCATTTGCTCTGATCAGACATGCCCCTCTCCCCTAGCTGCCCCTCTCCCCTAGCTCCCCTTCATTGCCGTCCTCTCAAGTAACTTCTTCTGGGGTGAGGGATTGTTGTCCACATAGCTGGCATCAGAGAAGAGGGAGGAGGGAGACATCGGACAGGGTAACTTATGACAAATCTATAATAATTTATGAATTATGAAGGGTTCAGGAGGGAGGGGGGAAATGAGAAAACAATATTGAGGGCTAAAGTGGAGAGCAAATGTTTTGAGATGGATGAGGGCAACGGGTGTACAGAGGTGCTTGACTCAGTGGATGTATGTATGGACTGTGATAAGAAATGTACGAGCCCTCAATAAAATAATTTTTTAAAAAGTCACTCTTGAACCATTTATTATTTACTTTAATGTATTGTTGCAATTCCTTCCTTATGGATTCAATCTATATATTCTCTTAAAATGCACTAGGAAATTAGGACTGCTTTTCTAATCAAGAAAGAGCTCTAGTGGAGTTGTAGGTTAAGCATTGTGTTAGATTGCCAAATTGGCAGTTCAAACCCACCAGTCACTCCCCGAGAGAAAGATGAGGCTGTCTGCTCCTACAGAGGTTTGCAGTCTCAGAAAATCTGGGAAGCAGTACTGCTGTCCTTTAGTAGCTGTGGGTTGGAATAGACTCAATGGGTTTGGGTTTTAATCATGTGATTCGCATTAAGAGAAGGGAATGGTGGTCAAACACCTCCTGTGTTTAATTTTGAGAACAGTTTATATGTTCCATGTTTCCTACTTAGGGATATCAAAGATGGAAATTTTAAGAGTGGTAATAAATGTGCTTGCATGCATCTAATCCATGTCATGTAATCAGAAATCTGGCATTTCATAAAACGTGGAACACTATAGATTTGCTAAATTTTGCTTTACAAAAATTAGATGTGGTGAAATTGTTTTGCTGTGCATACTCTTAGGCAATGATATCTCACATCTGGTGTACATGTCGCTGGAAGGCAACAGCTGACCCTTAGCACACTACCTTGTGTAAGAAGCAGATGAAGAAAAAGAGCTCCTCACAGGTCCTTCAAGACAGTTCTTCCCCTCTCTCCAGCGTCACACTCATAGCTGTGTCTCGTGCAACAACAACAAAAAAGGAAGTCAACAGTACGTAGTGGATTCAATTGTAAAATTGGATGCATCACAATGTTTTAACCTCCTCCTAGTGGCCTTTCACACACACACACACACACACACACACACACACACACACACACATTTTACTCTACTAAGCAGAGTGTGATTAGAGCTAAATTTAAGGGTGTGTAGCTGATGGCAGTCCCTAATTGTTCTCTTGTTTGTAAATATTCTAATGCCAGAACCCAGTTTCTTTGGTAATCATCTTCCAGCCCTATCATTAGATTTCCTGTCAGTGCCAAATTCCTTGTATTCCTTGGCGTAGTAAACAAAGCTCCAGTGTGGTCCAGTTGGACGGTCCACAGGAAAAGCCACAGTTGACAAATCTTCTGGAATTAAAAGGGGCCTTTTGAATACACTTTACCAGTGCTGATGAGTGGACCCCCCAAAGTCTTTAGAAATTAAAAGCAGACATCAAGGGTTCATAAGGCAGAGAGGAAAATGAGCTGATATCAAGGGCTCAAGTAGAAAGAAAATATTTTGAACATGATAATGGCAACTTATGTACAAATGTGCTTGACACAATGGATGGATGGATGGATTGTGATAAGAGCTGTAAGAGCCCCCAATAAAATGATTTTAAAGAATGAATTAAAGGCAGACATGTAACTCATTTAAAATATTTCAATGGCTACAAAGGAGATACTTACTCACAAATGATTTGTTAAGAACACCTACATGGCTACCAATTACAGAACAAGATTTTATTTTTTATTAATAGCTTGTTAATAGTTTTTGTTAATGTATTTCTCATCTTACTTGACATAGAATTATTATATTTTTGGTGTTCTTTCTGTTGAAGCACCCTGGATGGACTCGAACCTTCAACCTTCCAGGTGACAGCCAAAGGCATCTACCTGTTGCTCCACCCAGGGACTTGTTTGAAGCATAAAAACCTCAAAAAACTGAGATAGTTTCTCCTTAGAGGATAATGCATGGGAGCAGAAGAAGCTACACTGGGCCTTAAAAAAAGAACCTGGCTAGGTCTTAGAAATATGAAACACTAAAAGGCCTTGCCAAATTCCCTTTTAAAACATTCACTTATTCACAGACAAGATGCATGTTCCAAGTTATATTACATTTATTATAAAAGATATAAAGGTTAGCATAGCAATCACCCATGTACCCATTGTGCACTTAATGCAATAGGGAGTTATGAAAAAAGCATAAGCTTCTTATATTCTCCCTTCTGATTACACTCCTTGTTTTATCTTTCTCTTTCCTCCAGAGAAAATCACATATAAGATTTTCACATATGATATCCAAGACTTTTTGGTCCTTTCAGGGGCTACCTTGATATCTTTAAGTTCCACAGAACCTGAAGGCCAGGCCATGTGTTGCTCTGTTCTCATCACATATGCCTGTCAGGCAGCAGGAAGGGCTCCCCTCCTGGCTAGCTCCACAAGGTCCTTCCAGAAACTTCTAGTTTCTAACTTCCCACATCTTACCTCTGTTCCCTCACACCGTTGACTCACACTGGGAGTGGTAACTTCTTCCCGCTAGGTGACTGAAGTGCTCCTCTTTTGCCTATTTAAACAAAATTCTCATATTACATGAAAAAGAATATGGATTCGGTTTTCTGATAACTTGGAGAAAGCATTTTTCATTTATCCACATTGATGGATTAGTGGGTACAGCCCGGCCTGCCGCACTGAACTCTTGGGGAGGTCTGATGATGTACTAACACACACAGAGAGAAACCTAAGCTGTGTTGCTGGTGTGATCCAGGCGTGTTGTTCTGCCCTCTTCCCAGCCTGTCAGGGAAATGGCAGCATATCAATTGCGAGGCATCGTCTTCACCCAGTGAGGGCTGCTGAGAGCATGCACTTTGGTCGAATCACTGTGAGAACACATGCATCACGGCTGCTTACTCTCCTAAAAGCACCTGATATGAATGCTTATGTGATGACTCAATTATAAGTTGAAACAAGAAACACGACTGTTTTCTGACTCGGCGCCATTATTTTCAGCAATATTTGAACCTGGACCTGCTTTTCTGGTTTGGCCTATCTCACTATGCATTCAGGGCTTTTGCATTTGCAGTTCTATTATTGTTATGTACCTTCACAAATAAAAGGAGCCCTGGTGGCATAGTAGTGATGCATAGGCCTGTAAGCCTCAAGGTCCACAGTTCAAATCCCCAAGGGAGAAATGTGTGTTTTCTAGTCCTGTAAAGGCGTAAAGCTTTGAAAACTCAGAAGGGGACAGTTCTACCCTGTCCTGTAGCATCCTGATGAGTCAGAATTGAGTTTTGTTTGTTTTTGTTTCTAGGTCAGACAGGCCCTGGGTTGGATGAATGAGACAAAAGTTCTGTTTCTTAAGGGTCTCAATCTAGAAGACAAAATACAGTATCATCATCACTACCACTCATAATCAAATATTGAGTAGTTACCAGGAACCTAACGCTATGTTTAGCATTCTCAAGCATCTCATTGGATCTAATTTAATAAAAGTCATAGAATATGATGGTGATATGGTCAACATAATGTCCAGGAAGAATGGCCCAGCAGATGGACAGATTCATTCCATCTTGGGAGACAAGAGAGAAGTCACAAA